AAGAAAATCAGACTAATTGCCCAACCTGGGAAATTATCCGTCCAATACTGCAACAGAAGCTGTAAGGCAATGACATCCGATGCAGTGGAGACAGCATCATTGAACCAATAATTCCAAGTCAATGCGAATCCAAGCGCATCATCCACAAAGCGACTATATAACAAGTTAGTAATCATCCAGTTAAAACAAGAGCAATACTCACCCAGCATAAGTACAGAAGGATCCAGCAACAGGCATAAAGGCAGCCATTTCACCGAGACATAGCATAGTTATAAAGACAATAGCACCACAGACAGCGTATGCAATAAGCATTGAAGCAGGCCCACCCTTGGAGAGTGATGAACCCGTTCCGAGGAACAAACCGGTGCCGATGGTACCACCAATGGCGATCATCTGTACTTGACGCCCAGACAAGCGACGAGCTAACTTGTCGGCATTGATAATGGGGTTGGTATGGACATCATAGCCTGCGACTGGAACCTTTGATGGTTCTGGCTGTTTTTCGATGTCTGCCATGTTGAATAGCGGCAGTATCTAAGTTGTGAGTGACATGAATATAACAGGTCTGATATCATCATATAGTACCTACTGTAGATAAATTGTTTCAGCCCTAAGTCGCGTGACCCACACGTGGCTAGCGTTGATATCTTGGATACATCAACTATCAATATAAAGAAAGGAGGGAAAAAATAGAAAAAAAATACAACAAAAACGAAAAAAAAATCACATCCTATTAAGTGAGCGATGGCGTGATTGAATCCTGTGATGAGTGAATGGGGCTTGACCGTCGAAAATGCGACGTTGATGTGTCAAGGAAATGATTGTCTCCACAACTTCCATCTGATTGGTCACTTGACTGTTTTTATATCTTTAGAGCTTCATTTAGGTAGTTTAGAGAGGAATATGGCATGTTGGGTTATGCTTATTTAGACATCATTACATTGCATATACATTGTATACATGTCTGAAAATATTATTCGCTATGCTTTTAACTACATTTTTGGGAAAAGAATACACGCCAAAGTCCTAAACATGAAAACATTAACCAAGCAATCCACTGGCCAAAGCTTCCAGATCTCCCAAAGTTTCGATAGACTTGGAAGGCTGACTCTTGGGCTCGTCTCTGTCCGGCTTGGCAAAAGAGACACGCTGCTTCTTGCTGGGTCGGGGCTCTTCCCGCTCCGACTCTGAATCGGAGCCAGGGATCTCGAAAGGTACATGGGGAAGATGCGACAGACCGCCTTCCTCCTCTGACATCTCGGCCTCGGCCTCGGCACGTTCGCGCGCCTTGCGCTTCTCCTTCTTCTCGCGTCGCTTCTCGCGCATAACCTCCTTGTCCTCGATATCGGCCTGTTGGGTACGTGCCGTCTCGCTCTCGAGGAACTTTTGGCGCTGGACATCGGCATCGCCGCGAGCCTTGAACATGGATTCGTCTTCCATTTCGTACACCTCGTGGGCAACGCCCTCGTCGTCGTAGACCAATTTCGTACCCTTGCCCTTGAACTTGAGAAGCTTCTTCTTTGATTTGAGCAGCTTCTCGCGTCGCTTCGAGTCGATGAGGAGTGGGTCCTGGCCGTCCAAGTGCACCATTTTGACCCCCATGGGGTTTTTGATCTTTGACTCGGCATCGGAATCCTCCGAGCCGGAAGAGTCGCTGTTCTCGCCGAGTTCGGCGTCGCCTGCCGCGAATCGGCGCTTGACGGAGAGGAAGTCGGCATCCTCGTCGGCCTCGTCGTCGATCTCTGCACCCGCGTCCTTGGGGGCGTCGGTAGCCACCATCGTGCCATCGTCGTTGATAAGCTTCGAGTAGTGCTCTGCCAACACGCCCTGGTTGCGTCGCTCGAACATACGGTCGTACCGTGTCCGCACCTCCTTTTCGTCCTTCTTATTCTTCTTCTCCGCGTCCGAGTCGTCATCACTAGACATGTGTGCCATTCTCCAGGATTCGTTCTTGCGCTCCTTCGCATCGTCGCCCTTGATGAACTTGATACGCGGAGCACCGGGAAGACCCAGACTGGCTGCGTACTCTTCCAACGGAAGCTCCTTGATCTTAAAGGTCTCCTTGTCCTTTTGCACGTAAATCGACTTGACGTAGGAAATGAAAGCTTTCTGGCCAAGGTATTTCAGCTCTGGGTCCTTGAAACACATGTTCTGCAGCTGATTCTTGACACTCTGCTGCTTGTTCGATTTGATGTTGATCTTCTCAATGGGTACTTTCTTCTGCTCCAGCTGCTTGAGGAAGCCCTTCTCCTCGCTAGGGTCGAGGAAGAGCACGGCGCGACCAACACGCTCGTAACGGGCCGTCCGTCCGACACGATGAATGTAGGTATCGGCATCTTCAGGGCAATCCATTTGGATGACCCAATCGACAGCGGGGAAATCCAAACCACGAGCGACAACATCGGTAGCGAAAAGGACAGCGTGTTGAGCTTGAGAGAACTTTGTGGTAATATCCAATCGTCCTCCCTGTTTCTGCCGTCCGTGCAAGTGGAGCAAGGAAATACCAGGCTGCAATTGTCTTAGTGATTCGTATACGTATCGAACTTGCTTGCCTGATGACAAGAAGACCACGGTCTTGGATTTGAGATTGCTGCGAATGAAACTCCAAAGAGTATCAAGTTTCTGTGGGAGTGGAGTAACGGTGTAGTGTTGTTGGAGAGTAGAGGGAGTGGCGGAGGCGGCTGCTTCGTGGACCGAGACATACTCGGGATCCTGCAGACTCAAACGAGCCAAATCACCGACCTTCTTGGTCTGTGTGGCACTGAACAGCATAGTCTGGCGCTGTTTAGGGAGATGGTCGAGGATTGCATCCACGGTCTTCTGGAAACCCATATCCATGATACGATCGGCTTCGTCCAGCACCAACATCTGCAAGTTATTCGTCTCGAACATAGCGGTCTGATCCAAATGCTGCAACATCCGACCGGGTGTGCAAACCAGGATATTCATACGTCCTAGGCGATCCTGTTCCTCGCGCAGACTCTTTCCGCCGATAACCAATCCAGCAGAGAAATTGTGGTATCTTCCGATCTTGCGAAGCACTTCGAAGATCTGAATCGCAAGTTCACGTGTAGGTGAAAGCACGAGTGCGCCGAGACCATCCAACTCTGTCCATTTCTTGCGATAGAGGTTCTCGAGAATGGGTACTAAAAAGGCAAGGGTTTTTCCGCTACCGGTTTTGGCGGCACCCAGAATATCGCGCCCCTTGAATGCATGATTGATAGCACGGGATTGAATGTCGGTAAGGGTTTTGAAATGAGAGGCTGAAAGGCCTTTGGCTGTTGGTTCGGAGAGTGGGAGATCGGAGAAGTTTTTGACCGGGGCTTTGAGATCGAGGTCCTCGACCTGTTTGACGAGGGTAGCTAAGTTATCCTCCCCACGCTTTCGCTTCAAGACTCTCCCTGTGTCCTGGTGAGGCTTTGACTTCCCTTTAACTGCTCGCGGCGCCATGATGTGGTTTGTGAATCTTGAAAGTTGGCGGGCGGTGAAAACATCTTTTTTTTCTTCTTGGGAGCGAAAAATGAAGGCGGTAGAAAGGGCGGTGAGGAACTAGTCAGGTACATAAGATGTCTATACAAATTAGGTCTTTCGAAGCCTTTTTTTCTGTCATCTTCTCTTAAATATAGACTATATAATATAATTTTGGGTGTACTAGATGTTTGATTTATCAACGTCTTAAGGATAGATAATTGGACGACATCCATGTGTTGCCAGTGACCTCAATCTCCCACGACGGCTGGGCAATTTTGTGATGACTCAGCGACTAATAAGCCTGCGCCGTCTTATCATATTTGACAAGGTTGATCTCATGAGCGACAGGAACATGTCTACCTCAAAAGAAGCCACAGAAGGCAATATGTCGGACGAAGACCAGGATTTCCTCGAATCTCTAGAGAAAGAGGCATCTGAATTCAGCAAGGTAAGTACCCCTCTGCATGGTGTAAAGATATACTCCGACTGACACGCGACACAGGATGTCGAGATCGACCGCATTCGCAAGGCATTCAGTCTCGATTCGTAAGTCCAATCTTCCTAAGCTCTATAATAACAGACCACCCTTAATATCTTTTACGTATACTAACCCATTGCAGCTACGCCGTCCTAGACCTCCAACCCGGTGTGACAGAAAAAGACATCAAAGTCCAATACCGCAAGATCTCACTCCTGATTCACCCCGACAAGACCAAGAACCCCGCTGCTCCAGATGCCTTCGATCGACTCAAAAAAGCACAGACAGCTCTTCTAGACGAGAAGCAGCGCGAGTACCTAGATGAATGTATCTCCGACGCGCGCCGTCTATTGATCCGCGAACACAAGTACACACTGGACTCCCCCGAGCTCAAGACCGAAGAGTTTAAGGTCGAGTGGCGCAAGAAGACAGTGCAAGTGCTGTTGGAAGAAGAAGCGCGACGCCGGCGACAGCTCAAGGCGCGTTTGCAAGAGGAAGGCCGTGAACAACGCAAGGAAGAGGAAGAGCTTGAGGCGCGCAAGCGGAAGCGCGAAAATGACAAAAAGTGGGAGGATACACGAGAAGAACGCATTGGTAGCTGGCGCGATTTCCAGAAGGGGCGCAAACCTGGTGGTGATGAGAAGAAGAAAAAGAAGAAGATGAAAGTGCTAGGCTGATTCCAACATCCTTTTTTTTTCCTGAGCGTTACGGGAGTTTGGGGATCTACTATGAATTGTCACGGCCACGGCCGCAATTAAGTATTTTTATTTCAAAGTGCAGTACATAAATTGTAAGAATCGTCTTACAATCGTAGGTCCACGATACCCAAATCCATGAGAATCTACCGAGTTCCACCGACAGACCGATAAACCGATAAACCGAGATGCGGGGAGACACGGGGATTTCGAGAAAGTTCCAATTTATATCAACGGTCTATTGCATACATACATGTACATGTTGATATATTCCGATTTTGACATCCCCGCAGTGGATTTGTGTCTCCCCGAGAAACCCACACCCCGCCCCGAACCTCGCCCTGTCAACCTCAACCATGACTGAACCGATTGCAAAGACCGCGCCATTCCGGCCGCAAGATCACCTGAAACCATTCCCACCATTATCACCAACAACTGAGCCATTGGAATCAATCCCGCAAGAACAGCCGAACGAGAATGGAACAGCCCACACCAAACACGACGAAACCATCCCCCCTCTCCCAACCGTGATCGCACGCATCCACGCCCGCGTACAAGCCTTCCTAAACGAATCCCACGCCCCGGACACGCTGCTAGCCTCCGTGCAACGACAAACGCGGATCTCGCTAGAAGTAGTCCGCACCGCACTGCAGCGATACAAGCTCTCCGAACTCTCCGTCTCCTACAACGGCGGCAAGGACTGTCTAGTCCTTCTAATTCTCTTTCTGGCCGGGTTGCATCCACGCGCCCGCAATGACTCCCCCTCCAATGCCGAGGCAAACACAAACCCCTCCCCCGCAGACGTGGATGCAGAGGCCCAAATAGCCGCTGCAACGGTCATCCCGGCGATTTATGCGCTCCCGCCTGATCCGTTCGATTCAGTTGAAGAGTTCGTCGTTTCCTCCGCTGAAGCCTATCACCTCGCCATTACGAAATATACGACTGCGCCGCCGGCTTCGACGCTCCGCTCCAGCTTTGAGGATTATCTGGCGCGACACCCTGGGATTCGGGCGATATTTGTCGGTACACGACGCACAGATCCGCATGGTGCGCAGCTGACACACTTTGATCGGACGGATGGGGGGTGGCCTGATTTTGTGCGCGTGCATCCCGTGATTGATTGGCATTATGCGGAGATTTGGGCGTTTATTCGGCATCTGGATTTGAGGTATTGTTCACTTTATGATGAGGGATATACCAGTCTTGGTGGTACCTCTGATACCCATCCTAATCCGAGATTGCGGATTGGCGCTGAAGCTGATGGACAGTATCTTCCTGCTTACCAACTCACTGAGGATCTGGAGGAGAGACTTGGGCGCAATTGATTTGAATAGTGTGGATTTTCTTACATGTGTATAGATTGAGATTCCTATCTCATTGGCCTTTTCGGATAGATTGCTTTGCACGTTACAGTGCTCGCGCACTTTGGATCTTGAACATGGATAACTGTGTGGAGTAGTTCTGGTCTTGAATAATATCATATTAGACTGCGCAACCTATTAAGGTGCGATAGCGTTCTTTGAACGAAGTCTTGAAACATGCATCTTTGTCTGTCACATATTGCTGAAAACATGCTAAGACCATCCTCCCATTAAACTCCATAAAAAATGCAACTCGAACTCCATAATGATACCGTGTAGAGTTGTATAACAATAATGCAAAGAGTCGAAAACAGAAAAAAACAACTGAATATCATATCGTGAATCATGAATCGTGAAACGTGAAACCCGGAACAATTCTAAGAAAATGCAAGGCTGAGCCATACATCGCCGATACATTCTGCGAATGGTAACAGATGCTAAGCATTTGGCAATTAAAGAGCACTGTGGAGAGCTGCTGGCCAATCTTATCCCGGGTGATAAGATGGTGTAAAGCATCCCATGCAACTACAGATATGCGTGGGAGCATATTGCACTGCGGGTTTAAGCGCATGAGCGAGCCGGAGAGAGAATGATCATGGGAGACGAAGAAGCAGGGGATACAGATCCCGCTCTGATGTTCTCCTTGCGATGGTCCATAGTCGGCGAGCCCGGCATGACAGTCTTGGAAGAACCACCAGAGAGATCAGTGTAAGAGCGACGGCTCAAGGAGAAAGCGCGACTGCGATATGCGGGTGTGTGATCAAGCGCATTCAGGCTCCTAGACGACAAGGAACTGCTCCGTGCACTGCTGGATGGATTCTTCATGTGTGGGTGGCTGTGAGCTGAGTTAGAATGGATTGAATTGCGATGCAATATAAATTTCTGACATACCAAGGAGAGATCGAGGTTGCTGGGGTCCAGTTAGAGCCCACTCCAGCTGGAGAGGTGTAGCTGGCTTGAGAGTTTGGAGTAAGATGCGAGCCACGTTTCATGCCAGGGGATGGGGTGGATCCCTGCACCACTTCAACCGAGTAGTTGTACTCTCCAGCGCGGTAAGCACGACGTTCGTTGCTCTGTTGCTTCAAGATCTTTTGTGCTTTGGTGTCGGCAAACCGCAGAAGCAGCTTGACCCCATCGTCCTTGGTGACGTTATGGAATTCCATCAAGACTTTTTCGGCAACATCACGGTTTTCGAAGCTACAAGTCAAGATTTAGTCTCCAGTCACAACAAGTTATGATATTCAAGCAATTGGCTTCATACCGTGCAAAGCCCACTTCCTTGCTTACACCTGTCTTCTCATCCCGACTAATCTTCTCTGAAACAACACGCCATGGCTCGAAATGACGATGCAAGTCCTGACAGGCTAATTAGAATTCAACAGGGTAAGTGAAGGGTGTAGCTTGTATAACTCACAGCTTCGGTCCAATCGATTGGAATGTTGGTGCAGTATATATTGGTGGAAGATTTGTCCTCCAGATCCTTCAGGCGAGAGTTGCGAGATTTCTGTGCGAAGCTAGCTTGGTAGCCAAGGTAAAAGAAACCACGAATGCAGTTCTCGCAGGACTCAAAGCTGTAATACTGAACAAATCCGAATCTGCCAAGAAATTAGTATACATCGCAAATATGTTTCGTGGGGTAGGTACCCTTTGCAAAGGCTAGTGTCCAGATCCACGATCGCCTTGCAACGCTCAATCTTTCCGAAGCGGGCTGCATAGGCGTGCAACATCTCATCGGTGGTCTCGGGCAGGAATCCTCGAATGTAGACATTGGTTATACCCTCACGGTTCTCCAGACACTTAGCGAGGGTCAGCTCAGACGGGTTGGTCCACATGGCAGGCACCGCGCGTGGAATGGCAGGCTCTTGCTGAGTGAGGGCCTCCAGGTCTTGAATGACGTATCCGTTCGGAGTCTTCATCATCTGTAGAGGAAGCGAGAGCGACCCAAGCTGAGAGGGAATCATGCCTCCATAAGAGTAGGCAGACATGGAAGCACCGTCCAGGCCCGAAACGAGGGCGGAGGGGTAGTAATGGATTTGGCCAGCGTTTTCCGCTTGTGCTCCCTTCTGAGCTTCAGACAGATTCCATGCAGGTTGCTTGTTGGCCGTGCCATCATGCATGTCGTAGTTCATCATATAAGGCCACGACGAATATCCACCAGCCACCACAGGGTTAACGTTTGGATAAACTCCGGTTGGAACATAGGAGAATTGGCCCATCTGATCTGACTGACCAGAGACACCGTTGGGAACAAACGAAGAAACGGTCGGAACCCCATTAAAAACGGTGGAATTAGGAACCAGGATGAATGGGCTGTTGTACGCACGGTTGGTATTCGACCAGTCCATGTTTGTGTTCACTTGAACGGGGGCGGTACCCTTTGGACCGTTGAACTTGGGTCGAGAATTCTGCAGATTCAATCCTCTGAAAATATTGGTCAGGCCTGTAACGCTGCTGTCACAAGAACTCGGATTGGTGGAGTGCTGGTACCTGGGGCCATAGGGTGTACGAGGCTCGTTTTGGTACTGTCCAGACTGGATGGAGCTCGATGTCTGAGCAGAGCCAGAGGAGCTTGTGTGCTGGGATCCGTGCATATCGAAAGGCGTACACTGGCAGAGATCGATTTTGTCAGCTGGTTCTTCGAGAATCCCAGACAAGCAAAGCAAAAGGGCCTGGGAAATCCCTTGGCCTCCCAAAAAGCTCGATGGAATGGGTTCGATCGCAGGAATCCTCACCTGATTTCCTACACCAAATTATATAGACACTTCTGGCAAGAAAGACTGGGTGCTGTCGAAGAATGCCAGGGTCAGCCAAAACAGAAGGAGGATAGTCGAGCAACAAAAGTTGTGTGGAAGGCTTACCTGTCGAAGATGCAACCCGTCTGTCCTCCCAGACTTCTGGCCTATGATGATAACTCGCGAGGTAATTGGGGATGAGTATACGGCAACGAAAGTCTGGATGTTGAAATGGAAAATGGGATAAATGGGCCTGGATGAGGCCGATGGCGAAGTAATGGGGGGATGGAAATGGGATAAGATGAGAAGATGGAGATGGAAAAGACCCAGGAAAGAAAGACAGAAAGGAAAGAACGTAACGATAAGAGAAGGAGCTAATGGGGGAAATTTGAGTGAATTGGGAAAGAGGAAAAAGGGAAGTCACATGGGAAGAGACTATATACGTGTACCTCTCCAGATGATACACATATCGAAATCCTCTTGAATTGAGAAGGCTAAAAGAACGGTTTTATATCCCACATCTATGAAACAGAGCAACACATATGAATAGGGGGAGATATTCAAAAGATACTCAGAGAACTTCACCCAAAATAGGAACTTATTGAGACTTCTCCTGCAACCACTTGTAAACCACCGAGAAATCTTTACCACGGTGTTCCTCCTCAACAGCCTTGTACACCTCACGAGCGTGAGCACCCAGGGCGAGAGGGGTATTAGACTGCTCTGCGGCTGCAAGAGCTAAGCGAAGATCCTTGTGCATGAGACTCACCCCGAATCCGCCCTCATATCCACGCGACGCGGGGGCTGTCTCAACGACTCCAGGAACGGGATTGTTAACCTCAGAGGGCCAGCAACGACCAGTCGACGAATTGATCATTTCAGCCAACGCTTTGGGCTCGAGTCCCCAACGAACACCAAGGTTCATAGCCTCAGCGGTAGCGATATTGTTCAGAGCCAAAATGTAGTTATTGGCGAGCTTGCCGGACACGCCAGCACCAGGCTCACCTAGATGCCAGGCCTTCTTACCCATCAAAGCAAGCACATTGCGGATACGCTCAAGCTGTTCATCTGTCTTCAAAGAGGCGCCGAACATAAATGACAACGTTCCTGCGCGAGCACCAACTACACCTCCTGATACGGGGGCGTCCACGAACTGACCGGTTTGCGTGGTGTGGATGGCGTTTGCAATATCCTTGGATGTGACGGGGTCAATGGTAGATGTGTCAATGAAGAGACGTTCCTGCTCGAGCGGCGGCAGTGCTCCATTTTTCATGATAGAGTGGAACACTTCAATGACATGCTGAGGTTCTGGGAGACTGGTGACCATGACTATCTAAACAGCGAACAGAAATGAGCTCAGCTATCAGACCCCAGGCTGGACCCACACAATGAATAACCACTTACCGATTTCTCGGCGACCTCACGCGCACTCTGAGCGATCTCGACTCGGCCTTGATTGACGCCTGCGCCATTGCTTTCTGCGGTCTCCTGGGCCTCTGCAGCGAATCGTTTCATTGAATCTTCGTTGACATCGCGCACAATTAAGGTATCGGATGCAGGAATTTTGGCGCGCAGGTTTTTGGCCATATGGTAGCCTAGACCAGTCAGCTAATGCAAATTCAACACAAACAGCCCACAATCCATTGTATAGACGAAAATCCCTCGGGTCCTCGGGCTCCGATTGCAAATCTCACGACGTACCCATTTGTCCCAGTCCGACAAAGCCCCACGTCGCGTCACGTTGTATAGTTGTGGAGAAAGCTCGGGCCTTGTTCGACGGCCAGCGTCGGGGATCCACTGCGGACGCATGGAAACGAGTCGCCCTCCGTGGGAGAGACACAGCTGCTCGGAGACTCATTTTTTGGCAAATGTGATATGCACTCGAACGTTGAAGGGAAATATTAATTTATGAGTGTTAATACGAGCAGACAATGATGATTGATGGGTCAACAATGTTGAGTTCCAGGGGGGTAGAACAATGCTGGATTGTTTGAATCTATGGAAGCTGAAATGGGGAGAGGGGGTATTTAAAATAGTCAGGATGCAGCATGCCACATCTCCATAGGTTTTAACCGTGGCTTTCCGAGATGCGAGGGAGAGATGGGATATGCACCGCAGTAGACTGAAATGCGGGGAAGACCGGATTAGGAAAGCCGTGGGGAAGCGCGTCACGTGCTGCGTGTGGGGTATAGTTTGGTCTGGTCCATAGGGCCGTCATCTCTATGGATGTTGACCCTTGAATGAAACGATAGCTTCTAGAAAAAGGTACGTAAAGTAACATTGAATTTCAATGCAAAATACATGTATGTAGACTTTGATTTTGAAATGCACAACACCTAATATGTAAGTCCATCCATCAACGTCCAGGATATCCATGACTATATGGACTGTACAAGATGCATAGGCGCGAATCAACGCTAGATAGACAAGACCAATCGCGAAGTAGATAGACGAGTAAAGGGTATGTAAAGTTATCCAAACTCCCGAGAAATGCCCAGGCAGTCTGGAAGAAGACTGACAACAGATGAGAAAAAGCAAAACGAGGAAGCAGAAATGTATGATAGAGGATATATGCAGCAGTTTCACCTCGGCGATGTCGGGTGACTGGTAGGTCCTGAGAGATATTCCTCAGGCACCTTTGGGACACGTGGTGAGTGGGCTGTTTGCACTATGGCGCGGTGTTGTGCGCGGAGAAGGTCCCGCTGTCGCTCCTTTTCTCTGTTGGCTGCACCACCGGTAAGCCTCCGCATGCCGCTGCGAATCATTGATTCCAGGGAGTGTGGTCCATCGGTTGCGCTGCGCGTCATAGGGGCAGGTGGATGGATCATCTTCTTGGTTGTCGGTCGTTCCTCTAGATCCGAATGCACCTCGTCAGGGTCCTCATCGGACAGGAAGGCAGAATCGCTGAATCCAACGGGCAATGTGGTATTGGGCGTATTGGAAGCGGTATGGACATAGAGATTGTTCGCAGGGGAGGTGACAGACCGGGTATGGGAACCAGATCGTAGTAGCGAGGAGTTTGGAGGCATCGCCGTCACCGGCGAGTACACACCCGGACCATCGAAGCGGAAGTTGGGAGGGCGAGACTCGGCGAGACCATTATGGAAGGAAGATGTAGAGCCTGTCCGAGCGAGCGATTTCCGCAAAATTGGCGCGGTCTGTTGATCGTACAGATGTGCGTTGGTATCCACGTAGTTACCAGTGAATCCTCGTAGCATCGGAGGGGCTACAGGGTTCAACACCGGGGCAATCGTATCTGTCTCCTCAAAGAAGTCATCTAGGCTGTCCAGCTTCTGCACGATATCTCCCATATTGCCATCAATCTGCGTATCGATTGATTTCATGGTATCAGCTCTTATTGGGAAGAACGAGTCGCTGTATTCGTCCGCATGGAAGGCCACACTGGGGGTCATGACATCTTCCTCTCGCCTGTCTTCGGCCTCAACACATGTGTAGAAGACAGCGTGGACGTTGTGCCGGGTCATGTTCGACTGGGTTGCAGGCATAGGAACAGACCATCCCGTTGGTTCCGGAATTCCGTACAGACTCTGGATTCGCTCGTACTCTTTGCGGATAGCACGAGAAGAAGCTGCCGATGCCATACTCATCCGAAGATGTTGCCGCTCCATTGGGTTTCCCGAGACCGTGATAATATTGTCCAGAACCTCCAGGGCCTGAGGGCAGAGATCGGTTTGCAGAAGTCGGAGCAGTGGGGAGATCAGATCTGGGCCATGGCAGGTGACCTCATTGCGCCGCATGTCCACCTCGGGAATCAAAACACACAGGATCCTCATTGTTTTGATGCGGAACCAATCCGTGGTGTTAGTGAGAAGTCCCATGAGGAAGATGAGACACTGGAAGTCCAGTTGTGGGAAGTAGTACGACTTGATCTCAGTGATGATGTGGTCAAGGAAAACCCCGGCAGTCTTGTACTGCTGGTTGGCAAACCCAAACAATGAAGCTGCAAGGCGAGGGCATCTTTCATTCTCAGCCACCCGGGCAAGTATGCTGGCGCGAGCGATGGGCTTGGGGTCACTAAACCCTTGTTCAAAGCATTGCAGGAAGTGGGGTAGATTAGCCAACACAGTGAACAGATGTCGAGTTCCATCTCCAATGAGATCGTTGTTCGGAAGACCACTGAGAACATGAAGTAGATCGAGTGTACGATCGAAGGACTCGGATGATTTCATTCCCTTGAAGACAAGGTCCTGAATACCATCAAACCCGCCTTCCCAGTTTGGTGGTTGGCCTTCGATGAGGTTAGCCACCACCGCCGGATCACTGAGATCGACTCGGTCCAGGAATTTCTCAAGCATGCCAATGCTCTCGATAAATTCAGTCTCGTGGATTGTGTTGAGACAAGCACATGTTGTCCAGAATAGCTGAGGATAATCCAGAAGGTCGGACGGGGCTAGGGAGCTGATGATGATCTTCAATGTAGTAAGAATCTCCATCGAGAAAGTCTGGTAGTCGGTTTCCTCGTCCGCAATAGTGTTTGAAAGCCGGGCAAGCATATCGGCCAGCATTCGCGAGTCTAGTGCTGTCGAGATACAGCGGAAGATCTGGAACGAGCGGCATGCTAAATGCCGCACCGGACATGAGGTGGCCCAGTTCAATGCCTCCTTGGCCCACAGGTCGCCGACGCCTTCGTAAGCGAAACTAAAGAACTTCACGACATCACGAGTGACAGAAGCCATAGCTTCAGGCACCCGGCGATCATCAGTCTCCTCCTCCTTGCCATGGTTCTCTTCATATTCCCAAACGACAGCGGGATTGCTCCTGCGTATTGATTCCACAAAGTCTTCGACGGATTGCCGGGTACCCGCCACGTCATCATCCTCAAGCTTGGCCGCTATCAG